AAATTTTCACCAAACTCAGATTATGCAGGGTACTTTGTGAGCAGATATTTTTGGATCCAGGACCACCACGTTGGATTTGTTGGGCTGGAATTTATTAGGCCATATTATGAACCACAGAAACTTTGACAAATGTTGACCTTTGAATGACATTTTAAATGAACAATAAGTAAGTGTTTATATAAACTACAATAAGAGATAACTAAAGCCTGCAAGTTCCTAAGATGATAGAATACATTGCACACACACACTTCAAACACACTTTTAAAAAATCTGGACTTGGCATGTGATGGACTTGAGCCAACAGAATGCAGCAGACATGAACATGAAGTTCTGACAGTTCCAAGTACAGGCCCAAGAATTAATAACACTTGAGAGTTTCCTCCATTACATTCTTGGAAACCATCTGCCATATAAAAACTGTGACTATCCTGAGACCACCCTGCTAGAAGGAAGCCCAAAGTGGCCATATGATGGAGAATCAAGATTCCAGTCAACAGTCCTCTCTGAGTTCATAGGCAGTAGCCAGCCCGAGCACTAGCCCCAACTTGTCAACCATATGAGTGAAGCCATGTCAACCTTTGATGGATTTAAAAATAAAACTGTTTTCATTCCTAGTCTGCCCTGACAAAATGGTTTTAGGTCAATGATCAGACCCAGATTTACTGCCTGTAAAATGTGACATCAGAAGAAAAATCTGTAAAAGGGTCGCTCTCCCTCCTTCCTCTTTCCCTCCCTTCTCTAGTTCATTAAGAGTTTGGTTCTCTGATTCTCAATTTAAAAACCAGAAGATTAGTAAACCATTTCATTTGTTTAAATCCCACCTCATTCAAAAACATATTTGAGGCTGCATAGAACATAATTATATAGCAGAAAATTAACAAAATAGTAAAGGTTAAGATCTTGGAAAAGGATGAAGCAGGTCAATAACTATAAAAGCCTAACAGAATTTTGTGAATAAGTAAGAAATTTATTATGGGCTTCCTGGTAGTCAGTGCAAAAAAATTTTTACATAGTTGTAAAGAGCAGAAAAGAGGAAGTATACAGCAACTACTTGAGGGATGACAAAGAAACTTCTGCTGTAAAACCTAACGGGGAACTTTACATGGTAGCAATATCCTTGACTACAGTATCACAACAAATACTGAAGTGGTTTCAATATTACTACTGCTTGTGGTTGAAGACATAACATGAAAACAAAACCCAGTGAAGCTGATCTTGTAAGGTAATATTGGCTTTGAGCAAATCTTTCCAACATAATCATTTCTTCCCTTTCCCCTCCTCTCTCCTCCTTACTTCTTTCTCCTTTTTCTTTATTTTTTCTACTTTTCTTTAGAGTTTTCTTTAATATCATGGCATGGATGAATGAGTTCTGTTTTCAACCTACTGCATCATTTTGCTTTTTCTTATTTAACTGCTTACTGGCTGGGAGATGTAGAACTTATTTTTAGTTGCTTGGGATCCTTGGAAATTTGCCTTGTCTTGTTTTGGCTTCCATTTTCCCTAAACGGACACTTATCAGTTGAGAAGAGGCAAGTCAACAGACTGGGTAGTTTGCCCTGAAAGAGTTCAGTTCAACACCAGTCCTACTTGATGTCACTGCCTGTGGGTCAGGAGCATTTTCCTCCTATGGCCACGCAGATGCAAAAGTAGTGACGGGATGCAGTGCAGCTTGGATTATCATGGCCACAGTCATACACATGGATAGAAAACCATTCCGTGCTCTGTCTCTTCCATTGAAATAAACTAACAGAGACTGGAAAAGACTGTGGATCCCACATCGGGGAAGTTCCTTCCACTCAGAATCTTGTGTTCTTGTTGTCTGGTCCTTAGAAGTAGTGGGGATCCGATTTGAACGGAATGAGAAGGCTATTTTTACCGTGCAGATTCTGTTTGTGTAAACTCACATTTCAGTTGTCTTTTTCCTTTCCCTTTTGGCAGCAAACACTAATGCTTGAGGACACACTGCCACTCATTTCTGAGCACCAAATATTTGGTTTTTATCTGTATTCAGACAAAATCAGTTTCAAGTTGTTTCCAGATATATCAAATATAAATATTTACATAAAACAGCTTATAAATTATGTAATTTACTCCATCATCTGTGGAATTATGAATTTTTTCTTTGGTAGATTGCAAATTTTATTGAGCATTTACTTTGCAAAAGGCATAATAAGCACAGAGCATGGGAATACATGATAAACGAGACCTGGTGGTAGTCCATTGTAAACTTCCAGTCTAGTTGAGAAGTGAAAATATGAAATTATATTATATTAATTAAATTAGTTAAATTATTTTAGAGTTTTAATGCTTTTATGAGACAATTATTTTTGATTGTACTGGAGTTTGAACCCAGGGCTTCCTGCTTGCTAGAGAGGTGCTCTACCACTTGAGCCATGCCTCCAGCCTTTTTTTGTTTTGGTTGCTGTGATGACAGGGCTATACCACCCAGTCATTCATTGAGATGAAATCTAGTGAACCATTTGTCTGGGCTGGCCTTGAATTGTAATCCTCCTAATATCAGCCTCCCAAGCAGTAGGATTATAGGCATAAGCCACTGGCACCCTGCTAAGACACACAATTTCCATCGTATTAGAAGTTGAATATGGTTATGAATAGAAAGCTTGAGGCACCTTGGAAAAGGGTGTATAATGAAGTTACAGAAAAGTTGAGAATGGGTAATTTTTAAATCTAGTATTAACAAAGACAACGCATGGGTTGTTAGAAACATAAATGACTAAGTCTGGAAGGAAGATGGTTAGGCTCATAATTTGAAAGTTGGCTTGTGTTTTGCAGAACTTCTTGAAATGGAGAAATCATCTGATAAGAATTTCCATAGTGATATTAAAATACAACCAAGAAGTTACTTTTAGAAAGTGTGAGACTCTGGTGAATGCTTCCTTTTTTAGAGTATTTGAAAAACAGCACTGAAGCATTAAAAACACATTAAAAAAAAACTATTTCTTACGTGTTATAATAGCATGTGATGTGTACATACATTTATATTTTATATGTTAATATAAAATGTTGTGTACGGTTCCTGTAAGTTCCTTGATATTAAGATAATATTTTCTTTCTCTCTCCCTCTTTTTTTTGATGGTACTGGAGTTTGAACTCAAGACTTCATGCTTGTTTAGCAGGAGTTCTACCACTTAAGTCATGCTCCAAGCTCAAGATAATATTCTTTTAAAAATTACACTTTATCTATTCTACGCAGAAATGTGGACACCATTCAGGCTTTATTTAAAGTATAATTTCATTTACCATTTTAAGAATTTTACATTTAAATAGACATTACTTTTGTTTTTGTTAAACTAAAATTCAAAACACAGTATCTTAAGAAAATCTCTTCTGATCTCTTAAAACTTCAAAAAGAAATTTTGAATTTATATTTTTGCAGCATTATCTTATTTATCTCAAGATATGTACGGCTTTTTATTTATTTATTTATTATTATTGTTGTGCTGGGTGGGGGTACACTGTAGCATTTACAAAGGTTCTTACATGTATCAAATATATCATATTTGAATTCACCCTCTCCACTGCTCTCTTTCATCCTCCCTCCCCTAATTCCTGGAACAGTTTCAACAGGTATCATTTTTCCATTTACATACATGTGTATACATTATTTGCACCATATTCACCCTCCTATTCCTTTCCCTGCAACATCCCCCATCCCCGCAAGTCACTCAGCCACCCCTCTCTTTGTACCATTTCTGTTCTCCGATTTTGTAGAAGAAAAGACGTAAAACGTAATTTGAGAAACATGGCATTCTTGCTAGTTTGAGATGAAGATACCTACACGGGGAGATTCCTTGTGTTGTTTCCATGCATATGTGTATTACAGCCACAATTGGTTCATCTCTACCAGTCTTCTTCATTCTTCCCTAGTACCCTACCCACGGTGGCCTCAGCCACTTTAAGATTTCTGCGTTCATTCCTGTACAGTGAGCAACTTTGTGCTTCTTTATAAAAGGAACTTGAAATCTGTATTTAGGAATCCTGAAAATTGGGTCTTCCTTTAATTAGCCACACAAAACAGCTTTTAGTAATATTGTAGTCATATTTCATTTAGTCATATCCCAGTCACACCACTGGGACAATGGCTTAGTCATGATGAAAAAGAATATTCTTTGTCTTTTCAATCTTTTTTCGTTCATATTGTATCTCTCAAGAAACCATCCACCCATCCATCCATCCATCCACCCATCCATTAACTCACCAAACATGTATTGAGTGCCTACAATAGTCAGGAGAGTGTGTTGGTATCTGCACATCTGAAAAAAAAGTCATAAAAGTGAATAAGTCATAAGAATCATGCCTTTGTGAGACTAAAGTAGCAAACTGTACCAAGTAAGCAAACTTACCATAAGTAAGGGTAAAGTATTTTAGGAATTTGTAGATAGTAAAGTAATTCCTACTGTTAGAGTGGTAGAATGAGTGGTTCAGTAATACTTTTTCACCGAAGCTTAGTGACTAAATCCTTATACTTTTGTGGATGTGAAAAACCATCTTTTATTTCTTAGCACTTAGTAAAATAAATAGGATTGAAGATATCTGTCTTTGGCTTAAAATACTTAGAATATACTTAGATTTTTCAGGACATTTTTAGTACTTTTACTTTTTCATGGTTGACATACAGAAATTATCCAGGCATCAGGCATGGTGGTACATGCCTATAATCCCAGCTACTCTGGAGGTAAAGACAGGAGGATCACAGTCTTAGGCCAGCCCAGGTGAAAGGCTGAGGGCATGGCTCAAGTGGTAGAGTGCCTGCTTAGCAAGTGCAAGTCACCACCCCTGAGTTCATTCCCTAGTACTGCCAAAAAAAAAAATTATTAAAGTACATATTAATATGACAGGAAGTATGAACAGTTATTTGTCCTCAAAGCTTTTCCTTTATTTCTTACTGCAGAAGACTTAGTTGAAGTACTGACATATTATTTAAGAAGTGGTCTTTACTCATTTTTCTTTTATCTAATATTATAATTCATTGTTTTCAGAGGCAAAATCAGTAAAGGCTTGGAGGATTTAAAAAGTGTTACGCCAGCAGGAGAGACATACATCCATGAAGGACTAAAGCTAGTAAGTTATTTTACATTGTAGGCATGGAACAGAATGTTTTCTTATTCTATAGTGAAACAGCTTTCTAGAAAAGCTCCAAAACTCCATTGCATATTTGTCTTTAAATTTTTAAACTCTAGCTATTCTAGAAATGAGGCTGGAAGAAAATGTGATGGTGGTGCTAAGAAATATTTGTGTTTTGTCTCAAGGATTTTTCCATTTTCCTCTGAGGTTATATTCAGATTAATCAACTGTAGCAAAAACTCTGTATCATTTAAACCTGATAGTGACTACCCTAGAATGTGAATATATACAGATTTCAACTAAAATAGCTAACACAAAATACCCTGTTTTAAAAGCTAGTCAGTAATATTTTTATTTTGTCCAACTTATATATTCATCTTGATGGGACATGCTAGTTAAAAGTTAAAATTAAATTGTGAGTTGGATAATTATTCTTCATTTTCAGGCAAATGAACAAATTCAGAAAGCAGGAGGCTCCAAAACCTCCAGTATCATAATTGCTCTGACAGATGGTAAGTTGGACGGTCTGGTACCATCATATGCAGAGAAAGAGGTGAGTATTAAACTGAAGCTGTGCTCACACCCCACTGTTGTACTTTGCTGTGTCTCTGCATGTATAGCTTGATATGTGAATAATTCTCACTCTCTCTCTCTCTCTCTCTCCCTCTGTCTCTTTCCCCATCCCCCCACTCTCCTTTCTTTATCTATAGGCAAAGAATTCCAGGTCACTTGGAGCTAATGTTTATTGTGTTGGTGTCCTTGATTTTGAACAAGCTCAGGTGAGTTACAACAGATCTGCAAACTTTAAATCATATTATTGCCTTAAGGATAGTTAAACATATCCTTTACATTAATGATTTATTATAAACATTTTCTATAAAAATGGTTTATGTCTTGAGCTCTCCCTAATAATGTCACAATTTTATAGGTTTTGTTACTGAAAATAAAACTCTAGACAAATTTCTTGAATATGTATTTGGTTTGAGGACCTAATACAAGAGGAACACTTGCATTAAAATGATATGGATACTCCTTTAGCCCAACTTATGAGATTATTATGACAGTCTCATTTAGAATTCTTATGTTCAGTTAAAATTTGACTCAAGTGTGTAAAAATTTGGGGAACCCATTTAGAAACCCTTAATGATTTTTGTTACCAAACTTATTTTTTCATGAAGTTTTGAAGGTTTATGTAATAAATTTTTCATCACAAATCATTTTACATTTAAATTTTTACACAAACATGGCTTAGATGAGTTTCATGCCGCTAATAGTAATTAGAGTTCTGTGCTGTTGAGAAATGGCAATTTGAGATCGCTATGAAGGGGCTGGCTGAAACTGACTGAGTTCGCTTAATGGTGACACATTTAGAGTAAATACAAGTCTCATCACCTTCATTTCTTGACCTTGAGCACAGGCAATGCTGGTGAATAAATTCAGTGAATTTTTCAGATGAACATAACTAAAACTTAATTTTATATGTAAGGTTAGTTGTAAATTTATGAAGTGCTTTGTGTCTTGATTATCCCCTAATTAAATGTTCCTCTTTTCTCTGAAGCTGGAAAGAATTGCAGATTCCAAGGAACAAGTTTTCCCTGTCAAAGGTGGATTTCAAGCTCTTAAAGGAATAATTAATTCTGTGAGTATGTCTCTTGGGGAAGGAAAGGCTGATCATTTTATATACATTTCAAACTATAAGAAATAATTTTAATATCTGGAGCAGGCAGCCATTACTTAGCAGAAAGAAAGTTTTGACAGACTGATTTTGTTTGCCAGTGAGACGTGGTACTAATTCTGGCACGTTGAGTTCTGTGATCCTTGGGTTGTGATTTCCAGTTTAAGATGTTCATAAACCGTCTCAGACACTTCAGTCCTTTGAGCATGGAGTTAACCATCTTGATATCTTGAGAGTTTTGCTAGGCTTTATGGGAGAAATGTAAAGTAAATATTGGGATTGGAATGTGTGACTACATTAGTAGTCCTCCAACTCTAGCAATTTCTTAGCTGTCATTCAGGCAACTTGACCCAGTTGTTCTTTCCATTTAGATGATTAATATTTTCCCTGGGAGCACATAATATTTCTGTTTGGGATGCAGTGGAGTTGTCTCTGGTGATCATTAGACTCTGGGCTCCCCTGATGGGGCATGGGGAAGAAGTGATGAAATGCAGAGCGAGGCTCCTGGCTTTCACTGCTGAGGTTTATGTTTCATTTTACTGCCTTTTGCTAGAAGCACTAGGAACAGTTGCTATTAAGTATTTATGATATTTTGGAAAACACCATCCTAAAATGGAAGTGAATAATATATATTCTCTAAGCAAAAGCTTTTCCTTTAATCTTTAGTTATTCATAAAAGGGAAAAAAAATCTCACTTTCTTCTAACATTTGATTCTAGCATTTAAAATTTTTCTCTTTAAAGATCATGGTTTTCAGAAATACAGACTGAGATTTATTGATTTTGTTTTTAGTAGCATGTAGGCTTTTAAAAAAATAATGGTGCTTTTTAGAAAAAAAACATATAATTTGATTCAATCATATATCAGTATATCTAGTGGACAAACCAAATGTAAAAGCAGAACGGAACAGAGATTCAATTATTTTGGAAGTTTGTGGGAAAAATTACAACATAAAAATAGTAAATAATTTTATGACTAGATTCAGAGTAAATACAAATGTGATTTAAGTTTTAAAATATAGGAAAAGGAATAGATGAAGCCTCCCTCAGTAAACAGTCAAGTAGGTTGTATTTTTAATAGAGTTTTATTGTGCTTGAGGATTTTTAATTGTTTTTATAGTTGTAGTGGGATGGAGAAAACACCTTGCTGGGTTAGCCCCTTTGAAAATTTTGTCTCTTTCTATAAAAATTTAATTCATCATTCTCTGGGTGACAAATTAGCTTTCCTGTCATTATGGGTTATGCCTCTAGATTTCCTCTTCAAGAAATTCATAGTTAATCACCAGAGGAAATAAAGTTGTTTTTGTTATTTCTTATGTTTGCTTGTAAAATTTCATTTTTCTGTTGTAGTGAAAAACTTCTGGATGTGATTTCTAAGTATAGCACAGTCCTTCCGGACTGAAGTTCTTGATGGATGTAAATTGAATAATTTGTACTGAAAAACTTGACAGGAAATAGAAAGATTTGATTATTTTATCCACAAGTTGAGTTTCATCTGCAGCAAGATGATGGGTACAATGCCCATGTTAACATAGTTCAGCTTCAGCTATTTTGTCACAAAAGGAGGAGTAAGTCATCTCAGGAAAGCCAGAGCTGGGGAAACCTTGGAAGTACCTGGCAGAAATGACAGGTAGAAGGAGGCATTGCCACCAAGCTGGATTACAGTAATCATGCAGATTTTTTACCAGTGTGGGGATAGCTTGGGATTTTGGCCTACTTTGTAGAAATTTGAAGCAATTCCTCTCTTTCCATCTCTCTTCAAGGACAGATGTTACTCCATCCCTAATAATATAATAAGATATAAAACCTATAGTTCTGCCTCAAATTTGAATTGTACTTTATAGTTACATAGTACTATCTCACTAAAAAATACACTTGATTTTTAAAAAATATAGTATATCTACCACAGGGTGAGGGCAAATAGAAGATAATCTTATATTCCTTATGATTTACCAAACTAATGTATGAAATTGCATTCTGGAATGTAAAGTAAAGGGAAGAAACAATAAAAGCTAAAGTGTTTCAGATGTTTGGCTCAATGAAGGTAAAATAGTTGCTAATTTGAGAGACAAGTTTTTCCTGTTATTTAAACACATCTGGCTTCCTTATCATTAGACATTAACTTCTTTGAAGTTATCTTTGAGAAAAATTGATAGCACAGTTTTCTTTGTTCTTTCTCCTGGTCCTGCAAAACTCAGTGACCAAGATGGTCTTGTACCTTTAATGTGTAAGCTAACTGTATTGTTGACATGTTATTTTCCAAGAATAAATTTCTTAGCAAAGATAGGACTTTTATTTTTTAAGGCTTTCTTCTTTGTAGTTAAAAAAAAAAGAAGAAACACTATGTAGTTCTTTCTTCTATAACTAAAAAAACAATCAAGGAACTGGAAAAGGCCTTTGTTATAAGCATTGCATGTGGTAACATTTTAGTGCCTTTTCTAAGATTTATTTGATTCAGAAAATAACTTAAGCATTCTCTTTTAATTTTTCAGAAAATGTATTATTTCAGCATTTTTAGATTTCTATCCAAACATAATATGTAACATTCTTTGGTATAATTTCCAAAGCTAATGAGCACATATGAAGATTTATAATTTGTTATCTCAAGTAGGTGCTTGTGGAAAAAAAATTCTCCTTTTTCTCCCTTCTTTCTTCAATTAAATCATTTTTTTCACTTACCCATTTACTGAGCCATCACTATCCTTGAGGCACTGTGTTAGGATTGGAAGAAGGGACACAAATATAAATGTCAAATTGTCTGTTCAACAGGATTTAAAATAATAGTGATAGAGTCTTAGAATATGTCATTCCATTGCAAAATTTACTAAGTATTGTAGGGATTCAGAGGAGGGAAATTTTAGTGAGTTATCCCATGGAATATAAAAAGAGTCTTAGATTGCAATTGGTATTAAATATTGATGTGGCTACAGTGTGGCAGACACAAAGACAGGATGGGTTTGGTTATGTGACGTTATAGAAGGCTTTTCATGGTGGGATTGGCACTGAGATCTGACAATTGGAGGAGATATTATTAGAAACAAGGAACACACAGCTTCACAAAGAGTTTGGGCTGAGGGGCATGAGGAGCAAATGTTGGCAGGCAGCCTGTTGGTTCATTATGAAGACTTTTATATACTTGAGTGAGAACTGACATTCATTGTACAAATATCAGGGAACTATGGAAGATTAATTTAGACCCTTGGATTCTATGACCATCATGAAGGCTTAGGAAGGATATTCTAACAGAAATGTTCAGGATGATTTGAAAGATGGAGAGGCGTGTTATAAGTCTCTTGCAGTTGCCTTTAAGAAACATGGTAAAAGGAAACAGTATGAAGTTGGGAACAAGAAGACCTGTGTATGAATTCCAGCTCTGCCACTGCCTACTCACACGATCTGGAATTCATGGTACAGTGTAATCTCCCTGAGTTTTAAAATTTTCCCCAGTCAAATGAGAATGATGAGTTCTATTTCACTGGATTATTGTTTGATGAAATAATGATTAAGAATGATCTAGGTCAGTAGGGCTGGACTTTAAAATGTCTGTTGGGAAGCTATGAATGGCAGGAAGCTAGGACTACATAAGATAGAGCTATTGATCCTTGTATAGAGCAATCCATGGGGAGAGATGTTCAGCAATCTGTATTTCCAGGGCATGACACTGGTATATAAGAGGATCAAATTCAACAAGTGTGTCATAACAGTGATTTTTAGATGGTATAGCTACCCAATGTCAAATATTTGGGCACTAGCTCTAGATCCTCAGGCCATGGGATTAGGACTAGGTCAACAACTGGAGAGTGAGATTCAGTATTATCATGATAAAAGCTATATAGAATATCAGGTACCTGTGGGGTACATTCAGAAAAAAGCCACATTTCCTCTGGGGAGACTTGTAGTACTAATAAAAAATTCAGTGTTGTTACAGAACAAACAGTATTCCCAATGAGTTATAATTCCTTAAATTTATTCTAGGAACTGAGATTCTATTCTTTTGAAATAAAACCAGGTCAAGGTCCTAATTAGGGTAGTAGTCACTAGTACCCTAGTAGTTACTACACTCTACCTTGTTTAGAACCATGTCAGGAACCAGGGTGGGGCTGAACCTCCAGATATGAAATCTTTGTCTGTCTCTGAGGCAGGCTCTGACACATTTTAGTTGTGATGACATAAATATGTAAATTTGAGAAGCGTTAAAAGCTAGTAGAACTTGAGAGATTATTGGATTAGAGCACTAAAGGGACAGAAAGGGGAGTCAGATACATCTAATTAATATGAGTAACTAGCAGCAGTTAGACTGAAAGCTGTTTTTACAGAGGGGGCAGGGATGCTGATGGACAAAATGGAAGAAGTCAGTGGGAAGAGACAGAAGTCAAACTGATCTTGAGAAAAACATCCCAGTGGAGGCTGTCCCTTAGGGAAGAGGAGGTCTAATGAAATGCTAAGTTTAGAAACATTTTTGGTTTTGGGGGAAGATGATTGCAGGACTTATATTTGAAAATGAAATTTTATTTGGACTATTAAAAGTAAGACTGACATGAGGATCCCATGGTTTTAGTTCAATGTTTCATAAGGCAGTGCTGTGGAAAAAAACATTAAAAATAAAACAAAGCCTCAGAATGGTGGATAATGTGGAAAGAGCAAAAACTCAAAATGCTCTGTGGAAACTCCTTTTCTTTTCTGAAAACAGGACCATGTGATGTTTCACCACTTGGAATTATTCCACAATTTTTGTTTTGAATAAGACTCTCTCAGAAAGTGTTAAGCAGAAAGAGACAAATCAGTTGTGAGGATGGCTTTATAAGTAACCCTGGTCCAAAGGAAGCAAGAACATTGCATCCTAGTTGATGGCAGTTAATGCAGTTTCTAAGTTCCTAATGGGGAAGTGTAGGAGCATAAATAAGAAGTGAATGATCACAGTAGGACATTTAAATAACACTGCATTAGATGTTTTCTAAGAGGAAAA